TTGTGCAGGATTCTTGTCTGATCACCTGTTCGCTAGTCCAGTTTTTTTATTTCCGTCTTTTTTAGCCTGAGTTTCGCAACCCCCAGGTTCTTAGGTGGTGACTGACGCTATTTATATGCCGAAGTACCGTCAAATCGAAACTAAACGCACGTATAAACCTCTTTCCCCATGGGTTCTCTCTCGTTGCGCTTGCCTTTCTGCTGTCCCCATCCACAACGTCCACACACAAGGCGATGCTGAACAAGGCCCACATCAAGCTCAACGCCAAGAGGCTCTACGCCGCCGATGGGCACGCGGTCAAGGTGCGAGATTAAAAAGAAGCTCTGTCGAAGGTTGAAGAAGGTTTCGTCTGAGTGATAAGAACGGTCGAATTTTGGGCTTGGCCAGGAATTCTCGCTCGCGTCAAAACGCGATCGGGGTCGTTTGCTGTCATGGTTGCGCGGGTGTTGTGCACTTGGAGTTTCGCCACCCATGCCGCATGAGTCCGTGATCCTCATTTTGCGACGAGGGCTCTACAGTATAAAATCTTGTTCGTATGCGCACCTTTGAATGATCCGGTGCAAACACGACCGCGCTGCTGGTTTCTCTACTATAATTGTGGTAAATCTCCCAGGTGGGGCAACGACAGATGACCGACGCACGGTGCCCCCCCCCCCTCCACCTTCAACCTCGCCACCCCAGCCGATAACCCCATCCTAACATATGGTCGTTTCGCCGACATCAACCGATTCTCTCTCTCTATCGCCTGTTGCCCTCTCAGGAACTGTTGAAGCTCGCGACTCTGCTGTACAGCGCCAGTCGGGTGGAGCAGAACGACACCGGCGGCGGAGGAGGAGAAGGCGGCGGCGCTGCCTCTTCGACGTTCGCGGACGATGAAGCTGAAGCCCCGCTCACTTCACAGGCGAGAACGGGCTTCGCAGCAAGTGAAAAGAAGCACCGGCAACAAGAATGTTGGTTTGAAGAGACCGGGCTTTAGTTTGCTGTTGGTGCCTCGTGCCGGCTACAACCAGGGGAGAACATTTTGGCGGGGCTTGTTCCCGATCATAATATGAAGGCATAAAAGCGGAGAAGAACCTTCTTCGTTCCGCGTGCAGTGTGCTGGTTCATGGGCTTAGAACGTTAGACTCTATTGCCACGCCGCCGGTGTGGTGTGGCTGGCGGCAGCATATCTCTCAGGCACGGCCGAGATGCTATGGTTGATGTTCGGCCACGTTTGCGAGGGAAGTACCGCACGAGACACAAGATATCACACCCCCCTACTGAACCGATTTTCGAAGCTCGATTTTCTTCTCCACAACATAAAGAGTGGCGCGGTGCCAAAGATGGCGGGGTTGGAGCCGTCTGGCTGAGAGCTTTCCGAAAACGAAACGTTTCATGTGTATGCATCCTCTTCGTCGTGGAGTAATCGAGCTTTGAACACTGGTCCATTGGGTGTGGTGTATTTCGTCGTGCCACCTACGGTAAGCGGCATGTAGGCGACGCCATGCTCGTGTCCTCCTTGAATTGGGCCTACCCTGCACGCACGCACCCACGAATCTCTGGTACATTCCACACACACACACCAGACACGAGTTGCCTCTCGTGTGCACCTGTTGCTCGCTGAGAGCCGCACGGCCACGTCTACTCCACCTACAACTCTTCGTCTGTCGTTCCCCGTCCCCCGCGTGTGCGGTGACTTTTTTACTAGTATTTCTTTGGGCTTGTCAACAAGGGAGAGACACATCGTCCCCGCGCACTGGCCACGGTGTGTCCGTGTCAGCTCCTCACCCACGAAAGCAACTGACCCACCTACCCCCCCCCCCCCCCGGCCCCGGCCCCACCCCCCCCCCCCCCCCCCCC